AATGAGAAAAAAAATCCATACTCTTGAACTTCTTGGGTCCTTTCTAAATAGTAAAAATTTACCTTGACTTTCTGTATATTCTAATATAAACAGGTCTTCAAATATTTGCTACTATCATATACAATTCCAAAGGAAAGTTTCTCAGCAAGTTTAAAACACAGTATAAAACCTTAACAAGTTTCCTAGAGTATTGTAGTGTCACTAGACAGTAAGCATTTTCACACATAAACATACACACATTGTGAGTCAATAAGATTATATAATCCTCATCAGACACTGATTGTTCAATCTTCCCCTGTTCACAGCACTGGTAACACAATTTTAGAACGCTGTACAGGTTCCAGGTTGTTGATTACAATAAAACTGCAATGATTGTACCCATCCATGTCAAGCCCTGCTCTCACATTTTCTAATTTGTGTCAAAAAATTGATAGATTTGTCATTTAGACTATTTTCTTTGTTTTAAATGAAAGATTATTTTCTTTTAATTCCCTAAGTATATAAAATGCATTGAAAAATATACAATATAATAGAAATAAATACAAACAGAAGCAAAAAAGAACATAACATACAAAAATAAATTTTGGGTTTTATTTTTTGGTGACATTTATCTCTCCTCCCCTTTATGTCTCTGTTTCATGAAAGCAGAACAACTAATTAATGTAAGCACATTAAAAATTCTTAGTTTTCTCCTGGCTCACTATTTTTATTGTCATTAAAAACAAAAACAAAAAGAAAAAGCACACACACACACACACACACACACACAAAACTTAGTCAAGATAGTTGGTACAAGAGCTCCCCACCTTGAAGAACCAAGGCAGGATTCAAGGAACCCTCAGGAGTACTAAAGGATATGGCATGAGAACTCACAATCAATAGGTCAGTGTTTTACCCTGACCCCATCAGACATCCTGAGCAGTAACAGAAAGTTATCAATGGAACTAAGAACCACAACCTCTACACTCCCTTCTTCCCTGTATTTAGGAACCAATTTATTGTTTATTTGAGTGGCAGGAGTTGGGGGCAGGGGGCACTGGGCTTCCACTAGATAACCATGAAATAAATTTGCATCCCCTTAAAAAATGTTTAATGTTTATTTATTTTTGAGAGAGAGAGAGAGAGAGAGAGAGAGAGAGAGAGACGGAACATGAATGGAGGAAGGTCAGAGGGAGGAAGACACAGAATCTGAAGCAGGCTCCAGGCTCTGAGCTGTCAGCACAGAACCCAATGTGGGGCTTGAACTCACGAATGGTGAAATCATGACCTGAGCTGAAGTCGGACTTAACTGACTGAGCCACCTGGATCCCTTTTATAATACTTTATTACTGAAATCTGCATGATATACAGGAATGAGCACTCTCCTGAGTGGGAGTCATGATACTGGGAAACAAGTTCTGAGCCTCTAAGTGACCATAGGCAAGTGTACCTTTTTAAGAAAGAAAATCTACATTGAGTCAGTCATTTTCAGCGTGAAAGTAAGGGAAAGCTGATTCGAACAAGGAAGTTTTATCCCTTCCTGGTGATTATGGTATGTTAACTCCCTCCCTTTCCTGCCAGGGTAGATTTGTCCCAGGTGTTCATATTGAAAAATCACCTCTAGAATAAACCTCTATTCACGATGACAGTGTACTTTATCCTTCAAGATTCATATGGTGAAGGAAAAAAAGTGAAGAACCAAAAGACTGGATAATCTCCACGGTAGGAGAGCAGCACACTACAGTGTAAACAGTATAGGACCAGTAGGCAAGAAACAGAGATCACGGTGCTGGCTTCACTGTGATGTTAGTCACTTGGGAGTCATCTGTCTTCAGTTCCTTTTCTGTAAAACTAGGTTTAAATTATGTGTTTTCTAAGAGGATTACGAATTCTCACGTTTTTGTTTGGTTTTGGGATTTGGGGGGTGGCGGTTTCTGTTTGTTCTTTGTTTTTAGACACAGCAGTGTAGATGGATGGGGTAGAAACTGTCCTTGTGGAATTGGCAATCTTGGGCTTTCTCTCCTAGAATCTTCAGCTTTGCTCCTTCAGCCTGCTCTCTATGCCTGGTGCCTGTCTTCCTGAGATCTCCTTTACAAGTGACCTAGGGACTCCCTTCCTATCTCCTCTACTTCCTATAAAGTCTTCTTTCTTAGGGTATATTCCCTTACTTTGGTAGAAACCTCTGGAATCAGTGCTCTCAGAAAGGGTATGTGAGAGATAATTTTTTTTTTTTTTTTCATTTTGAATGTCTGCCAATGCCTTTATTCTATTCCACACTTGGTTGATAATTTGGTTGGGTATATCATTCTAATTTGGATACAACTTTCCTTCAAAAATCTGAAAGCATTATCCACATCTAGCTTCCAGTACCACTTTAGAGAAGAACAAAGTTATTCTGACTCCTGATTTTTTACCTATGACTTGTTTTATCCTTGACTCTGGAAATTTCAATTATATTCTCATTTCCTATGATATGAAATTTTGTAACAGTGTGCCTTTATGTGAGTCTAATTTTAACACTGTGCTTAGTACTGGTTGAACCCTTTCATCTGGAAACTAATGTCCTTCAGTTCCTGGAAATTCCTTCTGTATTCTCTATCTGGGACTCATGTGAATGAAGTATTTCCTAGACTGATTCTTCAATTGTCTTAACTATTTTTTTCCTTCCCTTGTTTTGCTTGTTAGATTTATCTTCCATCTCTGTTAAGTTCTTTATGTCTGCTTCTTTTTTAATTTCCAAAAGTTCTTTTGCTGATTTGTTCTTTTTATAGTATCTTATTCTGTTTCATGGGTGCTATATCTTATCTTTCTATAAAACTGGATATTAATGATTTCTGGTTTTTTCTCCTTTCACAGCCTGTGTATCCTTCAAGCTGACTTTTTTTGTTCATTGGTTGGTTTTAGTATCTATATTTCACTTGAGAGTCTTTCCTCAGAAATTTAGTGCTTGATGACTGTCTAAAAAGCTGAAGCTTTGAGCAAGCAAAGCATGGAAATCTCAACTTAACTGATAATGTGACTATGTCATGTCTTTGGTCATTATCTTTATTTCTTTTTTCTTAGACTGGTCAGATCTCCCAGAGATAGATCTTCCGATCTTCTGCCTGGGTGATACATGTCTGGGAACCAAACAGGTGAAGATGGCTGGAAGGTTCTCACCTTTAACTTACTGTTTTCATATGTGTTTGGTATATCTCAGTTTAAAGACCCTTTGTTTTACCTGTCTAGAAAACAGAGCTGCAATAGCCTACTGAGGTAATGGAGGGAAGCCATCTGGCTTCACAGAGTAGGGAAAGGTAACTGAAGGGAATTACTTCAGATTTTTAACCAATTCCTCTGTTTTTAGCTTTACTGACATCCTCACAGAGGTACCTAAGGATACTCATTATCAAGTTGTCTGGGAGTTTTAAAATGTGCACTATCAGGTTACTCCTCAGATTTCCTATTATTAAAGGACCGAACTTTCTCAAGTACGCAGTCCGTTGTCACTAAACCCAACTGCTTTTCATAACTGTGTTACTATTGCTTCCTACCTCATTTTGTCTTTGTGCATTTATGTTTTTTTTAAATTCTTCCATTATCATTTCAGTGGTGTTTCAGTAGGGAATAAAATCAAGTATATATACTCAAGCAGCTACTTTTACTTGAAGCTGTATATACTCAGCCTTAGTGATCCTCTTTGAGACTCTCTCCCTCTTCTGCCTTCTCAGCTTGTCCTAGTACCCTGGCATTTGACTTTTCATTTACCTTCACTAAATATAATATGGAAAGCTTAAGAAGTTTTAAGGTGTTTTTTGTTTATTGTTCTCTGATAATCTAAAGTAAGATTTTAACTTTTTGTATCTCTCATTCTATGCCTAAAGCCATATTCAAACAAGCTGCATTTTGATTGTGTGACATCTACCATATATCATTTTGAAGTCCACGGTGTATTTCCACATACAGCATTACACCGTATCACTAAAAGCCCCACTTCAAGGATAGGCCATTTTATATACAAGATGGGAAAGAAATGATTAAACAGCAGGTATACAATCTACTCCTTCTGTGAGGAGAGAGGAGCATGCCCCCAACAAAAAAAGAAGGTAACTTGGTCAAATCTCTTTGTAAACATGCTAATGACAGACCTCCTGGAAACAAATTAATGGTGTTTGCTAGCTAGAGAATACCTTTGGGAGTGGAAGATGGAGGGTTGTGCTTTTTCTCACAGTTCTAAAAGCTAGAAGTCCATAATCAAGTTGTTGGCAAGAGAATCCTTATTTATAGACTACTTATAGCATGATGTACTGGATCTAAGATAGTTTATGATATATAATCCTGGAATCTACGGATTTATGCGGCATGGCTCACTGGAAAATGTAACTATATGGACATAACATTGACATGTTTCATGATTAAATGACTTTCTTTTGTGTAATGAAGAAACCTCATGTTAATCTTGGCCAGAATGGGTTGTGAAGGAGAAAGAAAGAAAATACCCAGGGAGCTGTGCTGGTGGCCCTAGAATTTCTGCAGTTTTCCCTATGCTTCATGATCATTTATGTACTTGAAATTCTTAGTAAAGCTTGGTACTGGCTAATATCTCTGATTTGAATTAGTGTGATTTGACAAACTAATCTCTTGTGTTATCCTACAAGGAAATTAAGGTTCACAGGGGTTAAACAACTTGTTGAAAGTCACTTGCTAAAAAATGGCCAAATGGGTCTAGAAACCAAGTCTTAAATCAGATTCTTTATACCATGTGACACATCTTAGTGTGATGGAAAAACAACAATAACAAAACCTGCTTTGTGGAATGAGAATTTGATGTGCCTCCTGGTTCTAACACTGATCTGCTGTTTGATTTGGGGCAAAGTACTTACAACATCCAAAGCCTATCCTTACCTATGCAGTGCCTCTTACATATATACACAAGGTATCTTAATGATAAGTATAACAGAACAATAAATAAACATTACATAATAAAGCAGAACATTTAGAAACATTTTTAAAGGATGTAGGGAAAGAAAAGTAGTACTTACTTTTTTCTTGTAATGCCTGCAATTTATTCAGTTCTTCATTCTCTTCATCACTCTCTTCACTACTTGTGCTGCTCACATCCAAAACTATGTCCCTTTTGGGGTCTACTCGGAGAAAATTGCGGCATTCAAATGTCAGATGACCAGCTAAGTAAAACAAACAAAAATGTAAATGACAAAAGATACCTAAAGATACTCATTATATTTTTATTTTGTTGCCTCAGGGTTAAACAAGTTACAATTTTAATAGTATAATGTTTAGTTTCAACTTTTATTCAGTGAGTAGTAGTTTGCTTTTTCTGAATACACCACTCAGAGAAATTTTTCCTGTTTTCCCTATGTACTTAATTGCATAGCAACTACATAGCTTTCATCTAATTAAAGGTGTCATGACAGTATAATTGACTGTGTTTTTCTAAAGAACACTTAAAAATTTTATTTTGAAAAACAATTTTCATTCTGACATCATTCACCTCCTAAAGCTGATCCCTACAAGAAAACTACAACAGTTACATATTTATGACATGATACAACTTAAAAAAAAAAAAAAAATCAAACAGTACAAATACCAGAAAAGTACAGGAAATTATATAACCAATATCCAAGTGCCTATCCACTCACATGTTAACATTTTGTTATTCAATTAGAGTGTTTTTTTTCTTAATGGCAAGTGTTTGCACATATGTGCGTGCACACACACAAAATTGGGGGCCTTGCACCATTCCTTAGAACCCTGTCCTAATCCCATTCTATTCTTTCTTCAGAATTGGCATACTGAAGTTGTATTTATCTTTCCAAAACAGCATATCTGATTATTTATTTCACATAAACTCAATTACACTTACCTACCAATCTGCAACTAGTGTTTGCCACTCAATATTATATTTTGTGATTTACCTATATTAACATAAGTATATGTAACTATCTCATTTTATCTCATGAATAATGTTCCATTATGTAAGAATACGATTTATTTATCTTCTCTACTACTGCTAGAATCTTAGTTTGCTTTCAGTACTTTGCTATTATAAATAATGCTGAAATGAGTAGCTGTACATGTATTTTCTGCACACGACATTGTTTCTCTAAGGCAGCCACTTTCCTTTTTTTTTTTTTTTTTTTACTATGATTCACTGATGGTAAAAAATAACAGTAAAACTAAGTGTATTGATATATACACCCAAATACAAATACACACTAATACACAAATATGAAACAAAAAGTGACCTGAGTACTACATGTGATATCCCAAAACAAAAAGCAAACAAAAATAAAAACAACAAAAAAGTGGTGCTAACAGTAACCATGCAATTGATTCCACAACACACTAATGATTCACCATAACTCTGTGCTAGAGTTTATTTCTAGTTCTCTCTTGGAAGTTCTAGATTTATTCAAGAACATCTCGTATTAGAGTCCCAATCTTAGGACCCTGGGCCTTGCTTTTATCCCCTGCACTCTGCAAACCCATGAAAACCCAAGTTCAAGAACACTGGGCTCAGGAAATACTCTCAAGTCTTACCTCTTAGAGTTTCTGCTTTCCTTTGATTATTGTCCTCTGACCATTCTCTAATTATTTTCTTCCTAGAACACTGTTGTATCTAAAATATGTACTGCACATTTTATACAAGTTTCTTAACTGCTTGCAAGAGGATCCTGTCTGCCATACTGCTGGAAATAAGTTTCCTTCATTATGATTTCCTTTCAAATGAATCATTCGTAAGTATTCTTTTCAGTTTCCAAACATATGGAGTTTTCAAATTAAGTTTTTGTTGATTTATAAAGATATTACACTGTTATCAGAAAGTAGGGTCTGTATGATATCAGTTATTTGGTATTTGCTGAGATTACTTTTGTGGACTATCATGCAGTAAATTCATGAAATGATTTGGTATGCATTTTAAAAGAATATATATCACTCTGTTGAATAGAGTGCTATGTCTATTCTGTTGCTCAAATCTTCTCCATGTTATTATTTTTTTTTTTTGCCTAATAACTTCTGAGGGTATAATTTTTAAGTACCTCTATGATTATAGAGAACATAAAGGTTGTATCATAAACTTCTCAATTATTAAACGTAACTAATTCCACTAAGCTTCATATCCCTATCATTATGATACCCAAAAATGAAGGCTTCTGAATCTATTTATCCTCCTTGAAGCCTTACCCTCATATTGCTGTTACTGCTCCCCTGACCTACAATCATCACCCCCTTCTCCCCTTATCTTTTTTATTTTATTTTATTTTTTTATGTTTATTCATCTTTGAAAGACAGAGAGAGACAGAGCACAAGCGGGGGTGGGGCAGCGAGAGAGGGAGGGGGACAGAGAATCTGAAGCAGGCTCCAGGCTCTGAGCTGTCAGCACAGAGCCCGACGCGGGGCTCAAACTCACCAGGAGATCATGACCTGAGCCGAAGTCGGATGCCCAACTGACTGAGCCACCCAGGTGCCCCTCCCCCAATCCTTTTATGACAGCTTCTGAAACATGCAATCTTTAGTGGACAAATTGTGTCACCTCTTCACAGTTTGTTCCCTCTCCCACTTGTTTTAAAGGACATTTGGCTCTTCCCTGAGAACACTTTTCCACAGCTTATCTCGGTATTATTAGTATCCTCCAGGCTCCTTAATACTGTTTCTCAATATAGCAGTCCTCTAATCTCCCATGCAGCTCTCTGTTGCTGTTTAATAGCCCATCTACTGAAGTCTTTGGAATCTGGCTCAGACTTGGGTTCTTCACCCTAGGCCCTCCCACAAACCTACGCGAACAGGCTAGGGTGGTGCATGGCCTCATAGTTCCTTGCCATTTTACATGCCAAGGCCACAACTACGCTCCTTGTCATCACCTGAAGTGTTCCATCTCATAAGTTTTCAACTCCACTATTATACTGACTATAAGCTTTTATCCTTCTAGCTTTCTTATTCCCTTACACCCATGCATAGATGTGTTTAGAAATTTTTTTTTCTGTCAACACTTTATTCCATCTACTTTTTATTTATGTCACTGTTACTACATTTACTTCTCAAAGGAAAAAAAACAAACAAACCTATTTGCTGTCACCTTCTTTTAGGTAATTGTTGACATGAAAGCTGTCAATTCCAAAGAGAGTTAGAGCTTAGCATTTCCAAGAGTAGAGAATCAACTAGGTAGAGCACAAGAATTTTTTAACGATCACATTTATCACATATATATCTATGTGCAAAGTTATAATGTGCATAAATACACATTTTTACAAACTTCTATAAAAAACCACATTTCTGGGGCGCCTGGGTGGCGCAGTCGGTTAAGCGTCCGACTTCAGCCAGGTCACGATCTCGCAGTCCGTGAGTTCGAGCCCCGCGTCGGGCTCTGGGCTGATGGCTCAGAGCCTGGAGCCTGTTTCAGTTTCTGTGTCTCCCTCTCTCTCTGCCCCTCCCCCGTTCATGCTCTGTCTCTCTCTGTCCCAAAAATAAATAAATGTTGAAAAAAAAAAAAATTAAAAAAAAAAACCACATTTCTGACCTGCCATTTGCCCCTTACCAAACAAAATCACTTTCTCCTCTTCTAGTTAATTTTTTTTTAATTTAACTATTCTATTTCCCTAAATAACACATTTCTCTTAATAACTGCTGCCTCTTGATTTTTCAGCTCAGGCATAATTAATTGACTTCCTACTGTGGAAAATGAGCATTTAATATCCTCCCCTTTTCTCAGTGTTCTTGTATCTTTTTAAATTTTTACTTATTTTTAATTTTTATTTTCTTATTCTCAAGTAAGTTAGCATACAGTGTGGTCTCGGCTTCAGGAATAGAACCCCATGATTGATCTCTTACATATGATACTCAGTGCTCATCCCAAAAAGTGCCTTTCTTAATGCCCATTTAACCCACTTTTTAACCTACTCCCCCAACCCCCATCAACCCTCAGTTTGTTCTCTGTATTTAAGAGTCTCTTATGGTTTGCCTCCCTCTCTGTTTTTATCTTATTTTTCCTTCCTTTCCCCTATGTTATTCTGTCAACTTTCTCAATTTCCACATATGAGTGAAATCATATGATATCTGTTTTAGAAAATTAAGACCTTAACTCACTCAGTCCCTTCATTTTCTTCTAATCTGTCAAACTTCTCATTCCTGACTTTCCAAACACCATTACATGTTTTTTCTTTGACTCATTCATGTTCTTCTTCTGCCATACCTCACTGTAAAACAAATACTCTGGCTCAAAGCTAACCTTTCTTGAGGTTGTGCCTGTCCCTGAGCAGTCAAGCAATGCTTAAGTACAATCACACATACATGGACATTAGCAAAACACAAAGCATTTCATTTTTGTGTTTGTCCCTGGTCAAGTTCTTCTCTTATTCCCCTCAGTGACTTTTCTAAACTTATGCCTGACTTAAATCATTGTTCAACCACTTTCCTGTCTCACTCAATGCCCCTTCCCAAACAGACAACTGCACCTCCTAACTTACCAAGAAAACTGAGATTACCAAAGTCTCCTTCTACTTTCTGTTTCCATACCTGAAAATATCCATACTTATTCTCACCTAGTTTCCTTCAAACTTATGAGTTATCCTTGATGGGGCGCCTGGGTGGCTCAGTTGGTTAAGCGTCCGACTTTGGCTCAGGTCATGATCTCGCGGTTCGGGAGTTTGAGCCCCAGCATTGGGCTCTGTGCTGACAGCTGAGAGCCTGGAACCTGCTTCCGATTCTGTGTCTCCCTCCCTCTCTCCCTTTCCCTGCTCACATTCTGTCTCTCTCTCTCTCAAAAATAAATAAAGCACTAAAAAAAAAAAAAACAAAAAAAGTTATCCTTATTTTAACTCTTAGAGGAAATTGCTCCACCTTCTCCTGTCTCCAATATCTGCAACATCTCCTATAATATCCCTTTAGTCTCTATACACATCTTTTATCTTAAATATAAAACCCTCCATTTATCCCAAATTCCCTTCTAGGAATTACAGTTGACCCTGGAATGCTGATCCCCAGGCAACTAAAAATCCACATATAACTTATGGTTCCCCCCAAACTTAACTACTGGATTTTATGTGATTGAAAAGTAAGAAAGTCGCCAAATGGAGAAAAACAAAGTGAAGATGGAGGAAATTTGTAGGAAAAGGTGGAACAGCAGGGCTCTTGTCTGCTCTTGGCATTCTCCATCCTACTACCTGTGGGGAGCTCAGTTGACTGAGGTCTTGAATGGAGAGGTGAAAGAAACAGGCTCTGGGGAGGGATTTTCACTTAAGTAACCAAAAACCACATAATAACCCACCCAATACCTCACCTCCCACCAAGGGGTGTGGGAGAACACCAGGGAGGGCCCCAGGGAGGGGACAGTATCAGACAGAGAAGGCTGGGTCTCAGTGGGGTGGGGGCACTGTCCAGGGTGTTGAACGTTTGCTGAGGAGGGGATCTAATATTGCTGGGGAACTGGCAGCTCACCTCTTCACAGCCATTTTCCACAAGCAGAAACTGCACTATAATCACATGTAGGGGACTGGGTGAAGCAAGTGACCTAGAGAGAAGGGTACTGGTGTTTTGCCTTCCCTAGTTCTCTACCTTCCTGTGTGGAAGGAGGTGGTGTGGACCACCTTGCTTCCTAGGTAGAGAAGCAAGAAATGAGTATCATTCTATGATCTAGATTGGCTAAGTGCAGGTGGGGAGAAGGAGACATGTGGTAGTTCATGTTCTACTACTGTATTCTATCTAAAACAACAACAACAACAACAAACCTATATAAAACTACACCTGTGCAGTTCAAACCCATGATGTTCAAGGGTCAACTGTATTCAATATGTTCCTGTTATGACCTGAATGTTTGTATCCCCTCAAAATTCATATGTTGAAATCTAACTCCCAAAGGGGATGGTATTAGTTGATGGGACCTTTGGGAGGTGATTAGGTTTCTGAGAGTGGTACTCTCATGAATGGGATTAGTGCCTTATAAAAGATCTCCAAGGAACTCTCTAGTCCTTTCCACTGTGCAAGTAAAAAATGAAAAGTCTATGACCTGGAAAACTTGCTGGCACCCTGAACTTTGACTTACAGCCTCCTATGAGCAATATATTTCTGTTTATAAGCTACTGGGCCTGTGGTATTTTGTTATAGTAGCTCATGAAGACTGAGACAGTTCCTTACTTTACTTATGCAAATTTCCTGAAACAGGAGACTATACATACAAGCTCTCCATTTTTTTATCCATCGCAATTCAGGCCTGAATCTACATAGTTTGCTTCATGACCTACCACTCTACTTAAACTGATCTTCCCACAGTCAAAGAAGCATTCTACCTGGTAAATTCAATGAACAATTTTCAAACAAATTCTTACAAATCCTAATGGTTACATCTGACAATTTTCCCTCAACTTTGAAAATCTTTACTCTTTTGGTATATCTGTTGCTGCCCACTCCCTCTTCTAGTATTGTACCTTCTTGGTCACTTTTTCCTTAGCTCATGCCTAGATATTTTACTTTACCTGTTGATATTTTATTCCACTAAGAGTTTGTTATTGTTCCAAAATTTGCTTATATAAAATCATGTAGGCGAAAAATACAAATGTGGAGCAAAAAAGAGAGGTTGTTTCCATAAAACATAGTTGTACTTTTGGAAACACTTGATTTAAATGGATTATTTTTAAAGAGTAGTTTGAGTAGTTTTCAAATTAGGTACTGGCATCAAGACTGTACAAGATTGAGAAAGAATCTAAAACAATGAGAAAAGGTACCTGCTTCTCAAAGGGGGTGCCATGGCCATTTTGAGCCAGACAATTCTTCACTGTCCAGGACTACCTTACACATCCCAGGATGTTTATAAACCATAAATCATACATACTAAAGATCATACTGTTACCCAACCACAAGCACATAGGGGCAAATTTAAAAAAAAAAAAAAAAAAAAAAAAAAAAAAAGGCCACAGATTTCCAGGAGGGCAGTATTAACCCTAGTTGAGAACTAATGATAAAGTGATTCTGGACTCAAATTTCTTTCTCATTATTGCTGCTTGCTTATCTTGTAAGAAACAAACTATACAAAGTAGGAAATCCATTTCAGATATAATTTGCACTTAAAAGACTATGTGAAACAATAATTAGCAGACTCATAGGCAAAGACAAGGTCATGAATGTATATCAATAGATTAGCATTTTAGGTTAAATAAACATTAAAGGTATTTAGGTGTGTTTTTATTTCTTGCTACTATGAGCAAATGCTCAATTACTGAAGTATCCTATCCTGAACTTTTTAAAGGTGTATTTTCTGAGAACTATCATAATTGAGACATTTATTCCATGACAAAAGCTTAGTGTTCTGGTAGCTTTTAAGTATTTAGAAGTTGCCAACTTCAAAAGTATTCATATAAAAACTCATCATAGAAATAAACAATTCTTCTAATTTTGTTGAGGAAACTTTGCCATGAAAAACCAACATCCATGTTATTTAGTAACAGATTCATCCTTAACTTGAAACTTTTTAAAACTATATAGCCATTACTGAAACATACGGACACAATAAAATCTTCTTCAGTCGAGTATTAAATTGTTTTGTACATCCTGGGCACCTTGGTGGCTCAGTTGGTTAAGCGTCCAGCTCTTGGTTTCAGCTCAAGTCATGATCTCGTGGTTTTGTGAGTTAGAGCCCCATGTTGGGCTGTGCGCTGGCAGCATGGAGCCTGCTTGGGATTCTCTCCCCAATCCCCATCTCTCTGCCCTTCCCCCCACTCACGCTTTTTCTGTCTCAAAATAAATAAAAGTTAAAAACTGTACAACCTAAACCATTAGTCTCACAACAATAGAGAGACAATACTCCTTTGTAACTAAATGATGAATATGCATATTTTAAGGTATTAAAAACATTTCAGAGTTCTGTGGACTGTTCTCTTACATCTACAATCAATACAAAGATTCTGGCCTACAAATAACAGATAATTTTTAAAATGTAATTTCTATCAGAAAGGCATGCAAATTGAGAAGACCTTCATCTTTAACAGGTATAAGATGTAAATTTAACACAGAAGGGAAGGATTACTAAAGTTTTGCAAAAGAGATAAATGAAAAGCTATTTAATAACTTTATCACTAAAATCATAGATCAAAATAATAACTATAGGAACTAAACTTAGAAAGACTGTCAAAGCTATTTGCTTACTTGGCTTCTCTAAAAAAAATTCTAGTTACTACAGATACTTCCATCATTGTGTAAAATAAAAAAGCAATAAAGAGACTAGATCAACGTTATATTTCCAAAACATTATTTTGATTATTTTCCTATAAGTCTTAAGCTAAAAGTAGTTCAAGGAGATAAACTGGCATTAGTAGAGAGATTGGGAAATTCATTCTAGATTTTTAAGTACATAATACAGCATATAGGTATATGCTATATACATATACATATATGTATATATGTAGAGAGACAGAGAGAGAGAAAGAGAGGTGGGGGGGAGAGGAGGGGGGAGAGTGAGAGAGAGAGACAGAGAGAGAGAGGAGAGGGAAGGAGAGAGAGAGCATGGATGAGCACATTCCTAAGTCTTGAATCAAGACATAAAATATGGAGGGGGCGCCTGGGTGGCTCAGTTGGTTAAGCGTCTAACTCTTGATTTCGGCTCAGGTGATGATCTCGTGGTCCTGGGACTGAGCCCTGCAATAGGCTCCACTCTGAGTATGGAACCTGCTTGGGATTCTCTCTCTCTCTCTCTCTCTCTCTCTCTCTCTCCCTCTGCCCTTCTCTGCCTCATGAGCTTTCTCTCTCAAATAAAAACTTTTTTTAATTTAAAAATAAAAATGAAATACAGAAATTAGCAAAGATTTAAAGAAAGGATACAAAGCAGAAATAAATATAAACAAGCCTAAAACACAGAAAAGATTTCACTGCACTTATTTCTTGCATGCAAGTATATTCTTCAGGAGTTTTTATTTATGTCAAGGATATGTGTACTTATGTATCCACATTTGCTAACTGAGCAAGATTCCCTTGAGCCACATCTCAGCCTTCCCTTGGAGGCATGTGACTTGGTTCTCCCAGCATGCTTTCATTATGAGCCCTCTTAATGGAGATTTATGCCGAGGGTTCTTTTATCACATGTTCTTACATGGAAAAAATTTTTTAATCACCTTTATTTATTTTTTTAATAAGACTGTACATCTGAAGCTCATGTAACATTGTGCATCAAATATAACTATACTTCTAAATTAATAAATAAATAGATGGATACATTTTGTATGGATCAATAACCCTAATCCAGGCTCACTTGCATGGTCTCCAAACAAGTGAGAAAACAGCAAATGCTGGGGTGCCTAGGTGGCTCAGTCGATTGTCAGACTTTGGCTCAGCTCATGATCTCCCTGCTTGTGAGTTCAAGCCCCACATCGGTTTCTGTGCTCACAGCTCGGAGCCTGGAGCCTCCTTCAGATTCTGTGTCTCCCTCTCTCTCTGCCACTCCCCTGCTCACACTGTGTCTCTCTCAGAAATAAACATTAAAAAAAATTTTTTTAAAGAAAACAAAAATAGCAAATGCTACTGTTATAGCTGTTACCAAACCTTTAAGAATTGTTACATTTAACTAAAGAAATGGTATTTAAGGTACATAATTATAAATTTAGACTATATAACTGCATGTTAAAGTTTAATTTTCTATCCCATTTCATTAGTCATAATAGACATTTATGATTGTTTAAATCAAGTTTTTGCCGGTGAGCAGAAATTCTGGGACTAATATTATCCTCATAAAGAAAATAATTTTCATTGCTTCCCCTCTTCACCCAGTATCTAGAAGAACAAAGAGTAAAAGAATAAGTATACATGTACTTTCTGGGGGGGAATATACTTTCTACATGCCCCTAAATCTACTACTCCACTTGTACTTGATATCTTTGCTAGTCAACAGATACATAGCCACCTGTCACTCATCTACAGCAGGGAAGAAAGTAACTATTTAGGAGAATTTCTGAATCATCTGCAAATCTGGCCTGAATAACAGGGCTAAAGAACTAAGATGAAATCAGGGCCCTGAAATCAGGATGCCAAATCACATTGCCCAAGGAGGCAATGATTCACTCTTCACAATGTTATTTTTTAATGTACTTACGATAGCCACATTTTTTACAGCCTGCCCGGACACTGTCCTTGTTGCAACCTGAAATATAATTGGATAACATTTTAGCAGACATATAAAAGGTAGAAACATAAGAATTCCATCCCATGGAAAAGCTAAGAAACCACTTGTTGTGGAATTTCTTTAAAAAAAAGAAAAAAATATTCTTGACCCAGCTTAGTTAACACTATTCAATTGTCATCATTATTAGGAATCACTGGAAAATCCAATTTACTCAAATTACTTTCTTTGACAGTATTTTAAAAATAACTCCAGAATATATTTTTCTCTAATTTAACAGAAATACAGTATTATAGTCAAGAGCTTAAACATTCCAAGAATTCTCTAACACTGAGCAAGAAATTCCTGAGTATTTCAGCCTGTCCCTCAAATGTAAAATAATTAACTACATATGTGTGTACATATACATATTCCCTATATACTATCATATGTGCTAATATTTTTATTATATATTCTATTACATATATTAGTTATTATATATAGTATATTTATATACATGTATATACATATATATATTTATACACACACACATACATATATGAATATTTGGGATAAAAAATGTTTTTCTGCTCTCCCTTAGAAGAAAAACAAACTGGTTTTATTAAAGGAATTGGTAAAAATCCAGAAAAATACTTTAATTGATAGGTATTATAAGAAACATCCAAATGCACCACTCAAATTTTGACAAGAGAAAACTATCAGTCACATATTCAGTCTGATCAGTTTTTAGAAATATTTAGAGTATTTCTGTATAATTAGTAGTACACACAAGAAATGTTGCAGATCTAAATAAGAGAGAAGACATAAATTAAAATTGATTTTTTTATAATAAAATATACATAAAATTTATCACCTTAAACATTTTTGAGTATATAATTCAGTGGCATTAAGTACATTCATAATGCTGTACAACATCCTAAACACTAACTTTTTTCCTCTATAAATTTACCTACTCTAGGAATCTCATGTAAGTGGAATCATACAGTATTTGTCCTTTTGTGTCTGACTTATTTTACTTAGTATAATGTTTTCAAGACCATCCATGTTGTAACACATTATCAGAATGCCATTCCTTTTTATGGGTGAAATATATATATGGAGGGGGGGGGGAAGAGAGAGAGAGTTGAAACTGCTTTTAATCTCCAATAAGGGCTTCCATCAGCCAGAGGGCAAGGAAAGAATTGCTCTATTATCTTAATGAAAGGCATCTAACTCCTTAATCTTTCATATGGAGATATAATCCAAATTTACTAAAAGAGTACATAGAATGCAAATATAAAACAGTGCTAATTATAAAAGAAAGATCATTTTTGAACCATTTCTTTACTGTTATGAAGTCAAAACATCAGTCGTTTTTTCCTATTCCCAATCGTTAAAATATACATTATCAAGTTATTCTAGTAAAATACACTCAGGTCTGCTACAATGCTTCTTTTAAAAACATAAACTTGTTCCAATGCAAGTGATGTAAGACAGCACAATTTGAGCATAATGTGACTTTTGTCCAAGAAAAACACTATGTGAATGCACAAACTGGTACCCCATTGCTCTGAGACTCATAGTAATATACAAAACACACACAAGGACATAACCCAAACCATTTCTAGTGACCTTAGTTCAATATGGGTGCTGTGAGCAGTGCCCATCCACATCTGGTAAAATAACTTTGATCCAATCATGTCATCCTCTTCCTACCATTCCTTCAAGCCCTGATTCTTATGAACTGCATTTTCACAGCAAACTTCAGGTCTTTTAGAAGGTATAGTACCCTATTAATTGTAGTATTTATGTGCCTTTTAACCAATTAACATGTGCAAAACTGTGCTGTTTTTATTAGGTTTCTATCATTTTTTATGTATCACTGATGAAGTTCTTGAGTGTTGTGCCCCAATCTCATTTTTTCTCATAAACCTTGTGGATTTTACTGCATAGAGTGGGAACACATCTGCTGCACTGCAGCAGAACTGTGGAATAAGACTGGATTAATAATAAAATCTGAGGCTCTTTCATTATGAAATAATTGCCTGTTGGAAAAAAAGCCCAGAGTATCCGGGTCAATGTTAAGTCTGTTTCCATAGAAACCAAAGACGCTGAATAGACAGGACAAAACTGTTCTAAATGCACCATTACCATTCCCACAACAAACTAAAAATGTTGTAATGGACAGATCTGAAATGATCTCATCTCAGTACTTATGAGAGATTAGCTTATTTATGACTAACTCTATCTCATATTTTTAGAATGAACAAAATATGAAACTTTTCAGAGAAGGTCATCTTCTTTAACAAAGTTTTAACTTTTACATGAAAGGAAAATGCCAGAATTCTAAATAAAGTAACTCCGTATCAACTATGTTCTCACCAGTTTTTGGTTAAATGAAAGTTTCAAGCTTTATTTGTCCATAATTTTCATGACTGCTGGGCCAACTGAATGCTTTTACCTAGGACACGAATCTGATGCCTCTGACAAAGATATCTGGGACAAGTAACACAATGAAGTGGGGACAGTTCATTCATTCTCCTGTCAAGATCCAGTTTCTAGAGGCAGTGATGTCACAGAGAGCAGCAGTCCTAATCAGGTCTGGGACTGTGCAGGATCTTGGCTATGGATGTCCTTGGTCTTGTCTATTTTCCAAGAATTGTTATCTAGCATTTGCTTAGATTCTGTGAGCTCCCTGGTATCTTTCCTTTCTGCTTCAATTAACTAGTCAGTTTCTACTGTTTGGAACAAGAACTCTGCTGATACAATGGTGCTCCAGATTGGAGTCAAAGTGAATAGGAAGGCCATACTGAAAGGCCCTTATTACTTCAATCAGAAGTTATCCATTTCCCCATCTTAGGTTCTCATGCTGTTTTTTGTTCCATTCCTCTTTAAATTTTGCTAATGCTATTCAGAGCAATAGAGCTTGGCCCCCTCAAAATGTTCCTATGTAATCATAACCTACAGTTCCAAGACCACCAATAAAGTCTTGTAAAATTGCCCACATTAAAAAAAAAAAAATTGGCAAAGACCAACAAAAACAAACTCAAAAGACACATAAAAATAGAGGAAGAAATATCTGCAACTCATAGCACCAAAAAAGGGAAATTATCCTTACCTTATAAAACCCAGAAAATCATTATGAACAAGACCAATAGCCAACAGGAAAAAAACTCAGCCAAGGAGCTGAACAGAATGCTCAAAGAAACAGAAACAAGTTGGAAACATGGAGATCCTTAGCCTTATTCATAATTCATGGAATGTACATTAAAATCTATACTGAGATTCTATTTTCACTTATCAGAATAGCAAAGATTGAAAGGGTTGAAGAGAGTTTGGGGGAGACACACTCTAATACAGTACTGGATAGTAATGTAACTCAATACCACCTCTATGGAAAGCAAGCTGACAAAATCTATCAGAACTATAAATGTACATTTATACATTTACACATACATACAAATGTGCAAATGTACATTTATACATTTATACATACAAAGTGCTACTTTGACCTAGCACTTCCACACTGGGAGATTAATCTTCTCAATTTACTTGCACAAATACATAATAACTTATGCACAAAGCTATTCACCACAGCATCATTTGTAACAGTAAAAGAGTAGAAATAATTTAGACATAAATAAATTATGGTTGGTCTTTACTTAATGATATTTGATGGTCTCTAAGATATAAAGAAAAAAGCAAGGTACAGAACAGTGCTCATGGTATGTTGTCATTTGTATGAAAGGAGATTAGATAAAATATCAAATTATGTATAGATTTTATTAACAGATGGATGGAGATATACAAAAAAATCTCTCTGTAAGGATATATATTAGGTACCTGAGAAATGGGGAACTGCCTCCAGGGGTAAAAAAAGGGTGAGAAATATGTCACTATCCACCTTTTGGTACTTTTAAAACCTGAAACATGTGAGGGTCCCTGGGTGGCTCAGCCAGTTAAGCATCTCACTTCTGCTCAGGTCATGATCTCAAGGTTCATGAGTCTGAGCCCCACATCAGGCTCTGTGCTGACAGCTCAGAGCCTGGAGCCTGCTTCAAATTCTGTGTCTCCCTCTCTGCCCCTCCCCCACTCACATACCATCTCTCTCTGTCTCAAAAATGAATGAATGTTAAAAAATGTTTTTTTTTTAATCTGAAACATGTGGATTGATTACCCTCTCAAAAGCCAAACCAAAAACCTCCCTCAAACAAACCCAACACTGAGAAGAGGTGCTGTTGTGCAAGTATTCGTTGACAAAGGCAGACTGTACCTATAAATTCTTCAGGAAAGCTACATTACAGATTTACAAAAAAATTTTATTAACTGATGGTTTTAGGAACAAATTTAAGAGGTACTGACTTCCTTATTTGTTAAATACTAGCAAGGGATTACTATGGATCTAGAAAATTGTCAAACAACTTGAGTGGCAAGGAAGGGCATGGGTAACCAGGTGGCCTTTTACCTCCCAGGAACTTAAAGAGTAGAGAATGCCAATTTCTCTAGATTCCAGAGCATGCCAGACAATTCTACATACAACTCGCTGCCAGGCATGGTGCGGATTCCCTAGATGTCCTCAACAAATGCTTGCTGCTTTGAGGTTAGAAACTTAAGAAAATACTTCGGCACTTGGGAATCAGTAACTTCTGTTGCTCCCAGTTGCCAGCTACGAAACTAGATAGTGTCTGCAGTGTTACTGGCTCATCTGAGGAATCACAGGCAATGGAAGAACAGGAATAAAAGTAAGAAGGACAACTGAAATAAAAATAATGATTATTTAGGCAAGGGAAGGGAAAAATGACAGAGGCAGAGGGACCTTTCCAGGGTGATGAAAATATGTAAAATCTTGATATGGATATAAAATTCTTCAAGCTATACATTTGTAATGTGCATTTTATTTTAACATGTAAATTATACCTTAGTAAAGCAGTTAGCATAGAGGGAAAAAAAGAAACAGTCTGTGAAAAGGGAGAGGTTAGAGAAGACTAAAAACCAGGGACAAAGACCAGAGGGAGAAAATAGGAGTATGTAAGCAAAAGGGA